GTGACAAGTTTCTCCTAGTCCACAGTGTAGGATTAATCTCGGTAGTGGACATATTTGCTAATCGATCGTGGGTTTCGAAGTTTGAGTCGTTGTAATTCAGTATTGTATCAATCGTTAGGTTTTTTCTCGTAATTAAAGAAATTAATTTCATTATAAAAAATAAAATTTTTTTGTACGTACTAGTGCTATTCCAGTGCTAGTTTGAATCTTTTTATTCGTTCTTGTTTGAGGAATCCATCTTAATAATGTTTAACAAGAAAGTATATAAATAAATTGTTCTTATTGTACTCTATGTTAAATAATCGAATTCGAGAAATTTTTCTCAATATCATTTTCTCTATTTGAAGCTTCTACCTTGCTATCATTTTCCCTATTTGGCTAAACCATCTGAAGTAACGTCCGACCAGTGAAACTCAGGGGAAGAATTAATGTATAGATACAACTATTTAGAAAATACAGAATGAATGTATATCAGGAATATTATTAGAAAATCGCAATCTAAATACTCACTGATCTTTCTTGAAGATTAAGTTTAAATTGAGTGGACAGAGAATATAAAAAACTTAAGCTGGTAGAACTTAAACTAACGCTTCAAAGATCATCAAACTAATACTTGATTGAAATGGAAGATGTTTCTGAAATGGCAGGCTTTGACGAAGCAGAAGCAGTAGGGATAGTACAGAAAGACCGAAACTTTCGACCAACGTGCGGCAAAATCCCAGCTGTACACTTCAAAAACTCACTTGGATTCTTAATAAAAATCACAAGCTAACACAATAATAAAATACACGCACCAAATTTTGAGCTCATGAATCGCAGTTCTACATTTCAATCAATGAACCCGTAGATCCCAATAATTCTCACACCCGAAGCTACATTCCCAGGAAGAAAAAGGAAGAAAAAGTGAAGGATCAAATTCACTATTCATTAAGATATAAAGTAAAATTTTTTAAAACAAAATAAGTTTCCGCTACGGGTGCTATAAATATAACAGAAAACCAGAGGCAAGAAGAATCCAACAGGTAACTACTTCAGAAATATCCCATTGTAATATAAGTTCACCTACCAACTTATGTCCAAATCGTTGATCATGAGCAATATACAGCTAGTCATCGAACCAATTGATTTGTAGAAATCGAGAGAAATCGAGGATATTTTAACAACACACCCCAGAACTTTCACGATGGAAGTTATCCTATAGATGCTGTCTCCCAGTTATGGGATCTAATCCTCCCCGAAAAGCAAGAAAATCTGCATATTTTGACCAATTCAAGGTAAAAAACGGGGTTGCTCCTTCAGCAAAACTCGGGTTCTGATATAACAAGAGAGGAAGGACTTCGTGGAGGAAGCTGATTTTGAAATAATAACCTCAGCTGAGATGAGAATACCTTCCTGATATTTTTGAGGAACATGCTTCAAACTAAGTATAGCAACCTGGCTATCTAGGAAAGGTTACAAAATATACCTTTTCAGACGATAAGAGCATAAGAGTAAAGCATCATAAATGGATGACAACAATTTATTTAGAAACAATTGAAAAGAAAACTAAATTAGTTGGTACAATACAACCCATCTGTAATTGCAAGAAACTTTAAACTGGACTTGGAAAATCAATTATAAAAGATCACCATATCCATAGAACAAAAATGTAATAGGTTCATTCAACCACTAAAGAACTACCCAAACCAGCCAAACTGCGGCATCTCTAAATGCATAAACCCCAAAATGGCTAAATCAAATCCACACAGCAAAAACTTTGTTGCAAACATTAGTAATAGCAGCCCATTTCACAATTCAGGTCAGGAAACCAGGAGCTGCAGTTCTCCAGCGTAGAACTTTACAGCTCATTGGATACTTAATTTAACCAGAAGAAAATAAGAATTTGAATAACATAAAGAAAATAAAGAGAGAAATATCTAAAGGCTACATTGTGATTGATTGACTGGATACAATATTCATATGAGTAGCTCGTTATTTATAGGAGAGCTTTTTTACAACAACCTTACAAGATAAGGCTAAACTATTTTAAGTAACTATTGGAAGCAATCAATCCCCGGGATTACGAGATACTCTAGGAATTCTTGATAGCCAAACATATCTCATCATTGATGAGTGTGATCAGCCTTGTTTTGTAAATGACATGATCTCGATCTTGAGAGATTCTGTTAACATTCCCCCTCAAACTGAGTCGGGGGCTGGAGACTCAATTTGGTTCGAGTGTGTTGACGGCTTCTCATCTTCATGCGGCGGTGAAAAACCTTCTTGTGGTCCATTGATTCTAGCCATATTTTGGACAAAAAAAAGGCTTGAATTTATTGTTAGATTTTGTATGATGAGTCAAAAACTCTTCTTTTATGAGAAGATAAGACTTTTACTATAATGGAGATTTTGTGGATTGACTCAGAGGTGACTTTGCTCGTTGTCTGAAATATATGGATCAACTAAAGTTGATTTATGAGAAAAAAAAAAAAACACAAAGTCTAGGGTAGAAGACTTTGTTTTGTATTGATTGAATGATTTGTAGGTTTTGTGGACATTGTTGAGAGAATCAAACAAGAGTTTGGGATTAGCAGTAGAAAAAAAAAGAGTGATTTGGGATGAATTTGGAATTGAAACATGACACAATTGTAAATATTTATGATTGAACTAATCATGATTTTATTTGTTGAAAGAAGAAAAAAAAAATACGCGGAAGCATGGCACAGAAGCAGGATGAACTTGCTCTGATACCAAGAAGAAAATAAGAATTTGAATAACATAAAGAAAATAAAGAGAGAAATATCTAAAGGCTACATTGTGATTGATTGACTGGATACAATATTCATATGAGTAGCTCGTTATTTATAGGAGAGCTTTTTTACAACAACCTTACAAGATAAGGCTAAACTATTTTAAGTAACTATTGGAAGCAATCAATCCCCAGGATTACGAGATATTCTAGGAATTCTTGATAACCAAACAAATCTCATCATTGATGAGTGTGATCAGCCTTGTTTTGGAAATGACATGATCTCGATCTTGAGAGATTCTATTAACAAACTTAACCCAACGCAATTCAATTTCAAACAACGGAAAAAAAAATGATTCTTCAACCCAAGGAAATGAAAATCACCGCTCAATAATTCCTACAAAAATCTTACATTCATGTGATTCTAACATGCTTGTCACTATGCAGACAGATTTTATTAACTTTCTGATCATGAAAACTACCCAGAATTCCAACAGCAAAGATCTTAAATCCGAAAATGAAGAGAATCCGCAGCACCAAAATTCATTATTTAATCACAAATTAAAAAGACAAAAGAGAAGTCAAAACACGGAAAAGGAAAACTGAATCTTGAGAACAGACCTGGGTGAAGTAAATCAAGCAAACGAGCCAAAGAAATGAAGCCCAGTAACAAAAGGTCGTCGTTTTTTGAAGTGCTCGGTTTTTTAAAATCGGAACCAAAACGACATCGTTCTTTCAGTGTGGGTTTTAATTTAAAATCGGATGGATGACCAAACGACATCGTGTTTGCATTCCTGAGTTTTAATTTAAAATCGGGAGTAGTTAAATTTACCATTCTAACCCTACTTAAGTCGTGGCGGTGAAATTAATATAAACCGTTGGATCGAGGTCTATGAACGATCGAGATTGCATGTGAGGAGTGAATATTTTTCACTCAATATTTTCTATTTAATATTTTTGTCCTAAAGACTTTTGTTTAAGTACTAATGTTGGTAGAGTCGCGCTACGCGCAACAAGAATAATTCTTAAGTCTACAAGAGCTTTAGTTTAAAACATTGTGGTATATGAGTTCGATAGAGAGAATGATCAAAAGTGTCTCAAAGATCAAAACACTTATCACTTGTGCTACAACTATTGTCTTAAATAGTGTGATACAGCTAGAACAGTTATAGTTTTACGGACCTAAAGTGTCTCAAAGATCAAAACACTGATCACTCGTGCTCAAGAGATTTCTATATAACTAAGAAACCAGATCTGGTCAACTGGACCAAAACTATAAGAGTAAAATCATAGGTCAGGCAGCCCGATGTCATGTATTGAACGGCAAAGATCATAAAAGATCCAAAAGAAAGCAAAGAAGAATAGAAGTGAAACAGAGAAACCAAATACACAAATCAAATACAGTGGAAAGCAAGCACTTTGACAAAACTTTCAACAATTAACCGTATTAAATTGCTGACAAATTTTCACATTAAGTGATCCACCAATATACAACAAATATAGTCAAATACACAGCAAAGAAGTCCTACATGTTTAGGCATAAAGTCATATTAACTCTGATAGCACATTGATACAATATGAAAGAAACCAAAAGCATCACATGGGATTTAATTCATTATACTCTCCCCTACAAATATTCCTCATTCAATTTAATATTTTTGTCCTGAAACAAAGAGAGAACTGAGTTTAATTAAATTTACCAGGAAAAGAGTATTCCACAATCAAATTTGTACTCTCTACTCCCACATGTTATAGAATGAGCTTTCCAATGAGACTTAATTGAGGTAGATTGTCAAATTTCAACATGAAAATAGACCTATGAGAAATAAGTTCATTGTATAAACTATGAAAACTACGAACAGATCAGCAAGTCATGCATAGGATCTCCATGCAAGAATGACAAGCAAAGACAAGTAATTAATTACTCAGAGTCCAGGAGGCACAAAAAAAAAAAAAACAAAAACAGAAAAACGAGAAAATCCTACATATTAATTTACGGATTTAACTCCACTTAAGCTGTGGCGGTGAAATTGATTTAAACCGTTGGATTGAACCCTATCAACGACCCTAATTTAATTGGAACATCTATTAACCAATGGGATCACTCAATCTTTTAATGAGCCAATCATATCGTTCAAATTGAATTTTAAAGGCTTCTAACCAATCAGAATCGAATTTCTAAATTCAACAGAAGCTTTTATTGTAAGTAGAGATATAAGCGAACCGGACCAAACGTAAAATACTAATTATAAAAATTGGAGATAGAATCAAAGAACATCAACAAAAGAAATCCCCCAGAAGGAATCTTTTATTTATATTTAAATCCCCCTCATCCCAAATGATTTGTTAAGTTCGAAGTTACACTTTCATTTCGAATTTTACTAAAAGAAATAACTAAATATGACAATCATTTTGGAACATGGTTACATACTCCTGATAATTCAGGAGACGGTGATTACGAGTTTTATCCCCGTGATACACTGTTCAAAGAAGGAAATGAAGTACATAAAACCGGTTTGGTTTAGAGTTACGAAAGTGTCCCCAGACAATGCGGCATCAGCAATGTATCCTTTACTATGATCACAATCAGCAAAACCAATCAGATCAACGACGAAAACAGCACTGGAAAATGTAGCATACTTGAACTCTGCACCAGCAAATTATCAACGAAAAGAAAAAAATTACTTGAAGATATATTAATTACTCGCAACCAAAATGCAGGAAGAAAGAAAAGAAAGGTTTAAGGATGAGTTATGTTAATTACCGAGGATATCACCAACATGAAATTTCTTCCCAACAGGATAAAGGGTAAGGTTAAGATCCAGGTTGTCCCAAGGGACAGTGTATTTTGTACCAGAAATGGGAACAGAAAGACCCAACATTAGGAGGAAGTAGCACAGAAGAAAGTTTTTGTGGGTAATGGATTTTGCCATGGCTATTTCGTTTTCGAACTACAAAGCTACTAGATATGCCTCTCAATTGAATGAGTGCATGGAAGAGAGCTAGGAAAGAAAGTTTCTTGAGAAATGGAGAATGTTTATCATGTATATTTATAGGGATACATTATTTATAGATCTAACGAAGACGAGGTTATTCATTACATGGCGGGGTCACCAAATTATCATTCGATGTACTAACCTCTTGAAGGCCATATAAGTCCACATATGGTTCCACCTCAAAACCAATTGGCAATGAGGGGCGTAGCACATGGGGTATATATGTTGAGTTCAAGAGTCTTCATTCATCCATGTGGGACAATGGTACATGAGGTCAATTATTTCGTTCATTCATTTAACACACCCCTCTTAAGCCCAATGGGCTTGGACGGGTAATTTTATGTTTTTATTTTTTTATTTTTTTATTTTTTTTGATTTTTTTTTTCAGTATTGCGATCGGTTATTTTCCCGGATAAACCGTCGCCTGCCGGGCCAGTCAAAGTTCAAAGTCAAACCCCGGATTTCTTCCCTGGGTTGACCAAAGTTTCAAGACTCAATCTCAGTCAGTCCACCTCGCCCCACATGTCCCACAGTTCTACGGATTAAAACCCGCTCTGATACCATCTTGAAGGTCCATATAAGCCCACATGTGGTTACACCTCAAAACCAATTGGCAATGAGGGGCGTAGCACATGGGGTATATATGTTGAGTTCAAGAGTCTTCATTCATCCATGTGGGACAATGGAACATGAGGTTAATTATTTCGTTCATTCATTTAACATAACCCCTTGTGGGGGTTTCTTTTAACACCATTTTTGAGAATCATATCTCTTACGTAACATTTCCATTTACCTCGTGGATTCAATTTTGCTAATCCAAGTATCAACCCCTTTTTTTCGGATTTTTCCTTTACATTATTTACTTGAGTAGTGATAAATGCAAAGAAAATTTGGCAAAGAAATTTACAAGGAACGAGATAGATATTCGTTTATCACTTAACCCTAAGAAAAGTAAATAAGTATGAACGTTTATGATTAATTCTCTGTTAAAATTCTTGCAGGGATCATTATCCTATTAACTTATCCACAAATTTTCAGAACAAAAAAATTTGAGACAAAACGAAACAAATTCATCTCCCACCCATAAACCCTCAGCCTCCCTCTCCTACCCTAAAAAATTCCGGCGTGACGAGAAATGGCATTATTAAGCTTCTCTAATTAGCTTTTTGGATCTGTTTATCTGGAAATCACATATGGATTTGAGAGATAGAGCCAATCTCAAAAATTTGGATCGATCCAATTGATTTTGAATCTGTTACCAGATTAAAACTCAAACCATGTCAGTTTAGTTAAAATCACATGTAGAATCCTTGAACGTGCAAGTTTTGAAGATCATCGCCCTATTAAGGAGAGTAGGACAATAATCAATATTTAACGTCACCATTAAGGCTGGATTTCACTTAGATTGCTAACAAAACTCAATTGATGGTTGAACTCGTACATTTTCTATCGAATGTGGTCAATTTAGGTTTTCCTGAATCCTCAACATAGATTTTTTCTTCAATGATACCAACATAATTTCGTTAAGTCATCGTCTAATAATTTCTCCACTACCGCATCCGGATGCGGGCAGAGCAAATTCAAACTCGTCAATGACAACTTTTGATGCTATATTTGCTAATTCAACCCAATAGACGATGAAAACTTGAAATTAGGAAGAATGAAAGGGGACATGAGTCTAAAATTATAACGAAACTAGCAAAGAATAATGTGTCTGAAATCTAAATTATTTCCCTAACCTTAATCTATGGTGGTGTTTTATTTATTATTTCTTTTTACTTTCTCTACACCTCTCCTTTAATGTCGCAAGTACTAGTATTGTTTTAAGAGTATCCAACCCAGCCGGAGCTTAGTATTGCCGTTTTTGTTCATAAAAAAACAATCCCAAGATAGGTTTTGTTAGAAACGAAGAATGGTCCAACTTTAGGGACAAATAAAAAAAACAGAAGAAAAAGAAATCGCCTTCTTTTCCGAAAAGAATACGACAGAGAGGGTAAATTCGCATGCAAATTCCGTCGATGTTGCTGGGACTGGCGGAAGACCGTCCAGCAGCTCTTAAGGAGGTGCTCTCTGAAAAAGAAAAAAAAAGAAAGAAAGAAAAGAACTGTTGTTTCAAATCAATTGCGCTTGAACAGGCCACTGAGAGGATATTTTTTTTTTAAAGAAAATATACTGGTATTAAGAAAATCTCCCACGTTCTGAAAATGTTATCGCCCACTCTTTCGCCAAATTTGCTAAATCATGAGATGTAATCACTACAACAAAAATGGACTACTAATACCTTTATAGTGGGACACTTTTTCTAAAATGTGTCTCATTATATATGTATTAGAACATTTTGCTAAAAAGTGTCTTATTCAAAATAAAAATATGTATGCATATTATGAAACACTATCATAAATATATTATGTGGGGTTGCTTGTGAACTATAACCCTACTTAATGGGTCACTTTAAAGTGTCTTAATAGATGACAATCTAATAATACACTTTCAAATGTTTTATGACTTATTGTGACTCGATTATAGGAGACACTATTTAGTAGTGTCTCACGCAATGTGAATCACATGTGTCCTATTACACCACTTATTGAGACACAAAAAAGTGTCTAAACTACTCATTTTTGTTGTAGTGAATCAAAGCTGTTTGGAATTCAATTCCGAACTTTGTATCTCAACTTGAGAGAGGATATTGGAACAAAAATATTCTGCTTCGCACGTGTGAATGCACTTAATCCAGTTTATAAATTTCACATCGCTAATGTGAAAAATCTGAAATCAGTTAATAAAGTCCTTACTCATTGCTAAATTAATTCTTTGATACAAGTTCAAATAGCTTAACTCTTATAATTATTGCTAATTAATTTTTTGATACGAGTCCAAATCGCTTAATAGTTGTAATCAGATGCGAATCGTTTTCGAGGCTTCATTTTTTGGATCCCTCAATTTAATTACTCCCATTTTTCTTTACGACAATTACCCTTGATGTTAGGTATGGATAAGGAGATATATCTTAACGATTATCTTAGCACTAAATCTTTTGTTTTTTGGGTTAACTAAATCTATTTTTTTTAGTTTGTATCATCGTAGTAAATCTAGCATTTATGTTTCTTTTTAATTAGTTCAGGACTTGGTATTTTTGATACTTTCTTCACTTGGACTATTATCTTTCTTCACTTCTATTAACCTATATTAATGGCAAATTTTTCCTCTCATAAATATATATATATATATGTATATATATATATATATTGTTAAAAAAGAATATAGTTTCGTTACATTTGATTGGGGGCATAGAAATATTTCATATAATGAAAGTTCGCAATTATTGTTTCCTAACTTTTGGTGGATACTCTACTCTGTACCGCACAATCCTCGGGGCATCATGGATCTGTGTAGAAAATTAACCAAGTTGATCAGATTTGTTGAAGTATTTGTCCCATATTGGTGTTTGGAGACACTCAATATATAAGTACCATGGGCTATTTCCCTTATTGTCAATTGATTTTGAGGTGGAACCCATGGGCTTCTTTATGGAATCAGAGCGGGCTCGGCCCGTAGTGATTTTAAGCCCATGATGTTATTTTGTGGCTCAATTTAATTCTGCGACATTATTCCACGGTCCGTGATGTTATTCCAAAGTTTATTTTCTTATTCTGGTGATTTAGTTCAAGCCCGCTAGACTTGAGGGGAATTGTTAAAGTATTTATCCCACACTGATGTCTGGAGACACTTTGTATCAATATATAAGCACCATGAGCTACTCCCCTCATTGTTAATTGATTTTGAGGTGGAACTCCATGAGCTTCTATAAGCTTCTTCAAAAGTTGGAATGGATCTGGTTCTGTTTTAGGGCATACATTTCGATCACAGGTCAAAATGGTATGATATGCACTTGGAGTAGTGCAACTTGAGTCTGGACCTTTTAATGGACGAACTGTTGATTTCTTATGGTTGGATGATGATATCTAGAGTGTTATCGTTATTGTTTGCTGGCCCATCTTCCCCCGTCGGTGCATTGAGATGAAAAAATGGTTACAACGCTTACGTAGTTAATGTTTATCTAGTCATGTCTAGTTGTCTTACATCGAGTTGTTATTCTGAACAATATTTCTTTTTCCTACAAAGAATGTCATGACGAATTTGGTCTAAAGGGAATATTTTCACAAAGAGAAACTATTATTATAGGAAACATTTGCAAGGAAAATATTCAGTGAATGAATCACAACTATTTATAGTTAAAAATTACTTTTACGAGTTAATTCATTTAAAGATTAGGGAATAGTTAAAATTCAGTCACATCATTAGTTATTAAAATTTCTATAAATTTTTCCTACATGTATCACAACTTATTGAGAAAAGTAGGGTACAAGAAATCTACCTTAAAAAATTGTAGTCGAATTCGAACCTAAAAATTTTAAACTAGTGCGCTATGTCTTCACGTTACTAATTACTACGTACTTTATACCATTACTAGATGTTATCCGCATGATATGCGGGATATGTAAATTATGTATAAAGATCGAACATGGTGTAAATCAAAATATTTTTCCTATTTTTGTACGACTAAACTAATTGAAATAGATTATGATATATGTATAATTTGTTTATAAGTTAAAATTTTTTTACGTATATAACTCATAATTTTTTACAATAATATTTTAAATATATATCGAATAAACAGAAATGTCATTACATAATACGTATTAATGTTGATTGATTGAATCGTGAATGTGCATAGAGCAAAAAAAAAAAAAAAAACATCATCGGTACATATAGGTGACTTCAATTGGAAACAATTATTACCTTTTTGTTTTTTGTTAACAAAGAGAAAAAAGAAATTAATCAATAATCCTATTTTTTTATGCAGTAAAGGAATTGGAACATTCGATATCAGTATATGCTAACTAAAGTAGAACATCTACAAATCAATGATCGATAAATTATTAACATCTATAAATTAATATTTTTTTCGGTCCCAAGTCGGTACTAGTACAAAAAAAAAAAAGACAATCGATAAAATAATAAGATAATAATTTTTCAGAAAACTCTTATGTAATTATAGACCCCGTCAACATCATAAATTAATAATGACATGAAATATATATAAAAGTATTAGGGGCTGCAAAATATATATCTAGTAATGTATGGGTTTTCTTGAAATTTACATCTAAAAACATTTCATCCATGATTTTTTTTTTATTGCTTTCAAATCATCTGGTGTAGATTTTCTATATTGCAACAACAAATTCTGAAAGCTATTGCCCCATTAAGTACTTCATTTCATGTAATTAGTTTCGAGAACAGTGAATAATCATCATTTTAATTTAAGTCAAAGTTTTAGTGACAGTAACTACAATGTCTCAAAATATTTTATTAACTAATTGTTAATTTATCGGTATTAGAGGTTGTAAAACATATATATCTAGTAATGTATGGTTTTTCTTGAAATTTACATCTAAAAATATTTCATCTTTGATTTTTTCCATTGCTTTCAAAACATCTGGTGTAGATTTTTTATATTGCAACGGCAAATTTCAAAAGCTATTACCCCATTAAGTACTTTATTTCATGTAATTGGTTTTCGAGAACACTGAATAATCATCATTTTCATTTTTAGTCAAAGTTTTAGTGACTGTAACTACAATGTCACAAAAGATTTTATTAACTAATTGTTAATTTATCGATAAATTAATACATCTATAAATTAATAATTTTTAAGGTTCTAATAGTATTAATTTATAAATGTTTAACTATACATAATTTATCTTGTACAAAGTCAAACGCATGGAGAAAAAATTGTTGGACTATATATCCTCTGAAATCATTATCAACAAAACTATTTAGTGGTGATTTGTCAATTGTGATTACTGGTTAGTGATGATAACGTATAAAGTAGTATTTTATTATTCTTTAATTGGGATTGGCGTTTAATTTAGGCTCCATTTGGACAAGTGTTTTGAAAATTTGTTTAAAAAATTCTGTTTGAACCAAAACTTAAAAAAATACTTTTTGAAAAATAATGCATTTGGACAAGAATTTTTCAAAACCCATTTAGTAATTAAAAATATTAAAAAGTCATTTGGACTAGGTCTTTTTCAAAATTACTTTTTCTTCAAAATATTTTGTGATTTTTTTTTTTTAAAAATTATTTTTATACAAATTATCATTTTCATTTTCTTTCACTTTTCTTTCCTAAAGTTTTGTTTCCTAAATTTTCAGTCAAATTACGTTTTAAATCATCTCTCAAATTCAAATAAAAAACGACAAAATGTTGTCCAAACAAATATCCCATCTGATTGAGTTACAAAATAAGGTTCAAGGTCCTATGACGATGATCTACACAAAATTACAAAACGTGCCCTTAAAATCTACTATCATTAGTAAATGATTAGCTTATGATTCACAAAATTAGATAAATTATACATCTGTTTATGCAGCTTTTGTTCGATGATGGATCGACATTTTTGTTGTTCCATACTCAGCCTTATATTATCCTTGATCAAGACGAGATTTTGGTTCAATAACTCTACCAAGGTGCAGTTGCCATTTCCTTAAATGAGAGCTCATGCTTTCCGTTCTGCACTAGCAGAAAATTAATTTCTTCGTCAATATTTTGAATAACACTCCAACTTTTCAAGCTTGGTTCCAAGACTCCTCATATCTTCTTCAAGCGGGGCTTTTTCTTTCTTCTTTGATCGCATCATCTCTTGTTCTTCGGATTGAAACGAGAGTAGCTTCTTGATCCGTTCGCGTAAAAATGCAACTGCCATGCCCATATCCTCAAAGGACTTCAGAGTTGTGTCCCAAACTTGGAGATGATCCAAGGGTGTGGTAAGCTTGGCCGCTCTGATTGCATCCGAAATGTTGACAGCTTCAGCAATGACGCCAGCCATATGAGAGGCTTATCAATATCATCAATTTTCTCCTGCGTACAAGACCAAACTCTTCAGTCATCGTTCATTATCGATTTTTCGCACATAAACAAGATGTTAACTTTCTTCAGAAAAATTCCAAATGTAAAGGGTAAAGACTCTTTAACATTCAATATTGCTCAATAAATTCAAGGGTGCTTGAACCCAAAAGTGTAGAACAAAAAATGTGTAGGGTTTAAAAAGTGGACAAATATAATGTTCTCGCGCTTTGAAAACGCGAAAAAATCAAATTAGATTAACAATTCGCGTTTCACAAACGGGAATACTGTTAATTGTATTCACGCAGCTTTAACCGGGACGAAAGCAAAAAAAAAAAAAAAATAGAAAAATCCGTTTTTCGCGTTTTGGAAACGTGAAAAAATTAAAACGCGTTTGTAAAGCGCGAAACTTTGTTTTCGCATTTTCAAAACGCGAAAAACTATTTTCGCGTTTAAAAAAAGCGAAAAGCTATAAGTTTAAAATTGTAAACCGCAGTTTGCAAAATTTAGCATTTGAAAACGCGAAACAAAATTTCTAGCTTTTCAAAACGCGAAAATATCCAGAAAATCTCCTCATCCGCTCATCCGTCTCCATGTGTATTTGATGATAACTCTGGAATGTATTCGCATTTTGTAAACGCGAAATTTAAGATTCATATATAAAGCAAGCGATTTAACAGCATTTCTTCGCAAATTTTTTTCATTGTTCAGCTCGGATTTTTCTTCCCAAATTTCTTTCATTCTGTTGATCTCCGATTTTAAATTTCACTCCGGAGGACTTGCTGAATTTGTGAAGCTCTCATTTTCTTCAAATTGAGAAATTGCTCCGAAGTTAAAGAAGATTGATTTGAGTCCTGAAGCCTATTTAAAACTCTAAGTTTTAACATTGAGGTAAGTTTATTTCGTTATAAAAAACATGTACTTTTTTATGTCTTATTGTGAGCATAGGATGATTTACGCATTATTATTAGTTAATATATAATTGTGATTTAGTCAATTAACGGTGATTTTTGATTGAGGCTGATAAAGTGAATTGAAAGAAATATTAGTTAATAGAATGTTAAATTAGATTGCAGTTGTAAATTATTGTACATCGATTTCTGTAAAATAAAATAAAATTATAATAATGATATTGAATTTTTGAATATTTATAGCATAAGAATAAATTATGTAATTCGGACATAAGGTTTAGATTTAATATTAATTTTTAGCATACAAATGAATTTGTAAATTCAGGCGTATAGTTGTTCTTTTAAAATTATTAAATCTGTAAACGGGATAAATACTGTGGCCGCAAACTGATTTCGTAGGAATTGATTTTGCAGGCCGCAAATGCCTTTCACGGAGACAGTTCGTCTGAAATTATACTGGAATACTACTTATACAACTGAACCTGATGGGACTATCACGGTACAGCGGGATGCGCCGGACGGTTATCTTATTATTGATCGTATGTTAGATTTCTCGGAACTTGTTGATAAGGTATGTAGTGTGATGGAAGTTGATAGAGAAGGGCTGTACATTGATTTTTCTTTGGTATGGACGGAGAGGTCAGGAAAAAGGTCTCGTGTGCACATTAATGATGATAATACTGTTCGGTTCATTTATCTTTGTGCTGATAAATGGCCAGAATTGTACCTTGAAAATATTGAGAGAACAGACCATGTTTATGCAAGTACATCTGGCTAGGATATTGGTGCCAGCACTAGTGGTGGTAGAACAGTTGAAGACAATGAAGATGGAGATGAAGATGGAGATGAAGATGAAGATAAAGATGAAAATGCAGATGAAGATGAAGATGAAGATGGCGGGGGTGTCGAAAGCAGTGATGATGAGTACGTCCCATCGAATGAGGACTCAGATGACGACACTGATTTTGAGTCATCTTCTTCAGTCCCATATGTTTTCGACGACATAAGTGGATGGGACAAGACTTTAGAGGAAGTAGATTGTGATGGGATTAAAATGTGGGATGGCAATCCGTTGACGCTAGGCCTTGATATACATTTCGCCAACAAGCCTGAGGCACAAGCGGCAGTTGGAGAATGGAACTTGGTACATGGTCGGACTTTCCGGGTGAAAACGAGCTCTAAACGAACATGGTATGACGAATGCGAGACGTATGGACCCAAATATCCGAAAGAGCATCTTCACAGCTATGATTGTCTGTGGAAGGTGCGAGTTTCGCTACAGAAGGCCACCGATACTTGGAAAATGGTGGTATGGTCCGATTCCCACAACTGTCTTGGGGCAAACAAGAGAAACGAGTCCCGAAACGTCACGTCTTCTATGATTGCTAGACTGGTTGCCCAAAATGTGTGAAAACATCCAGATTTTACAGTTGCCCAAATTCAAATAGAAGTTTTGAAGAGGTACCAAGTCGAATGTAGCTACAAGAAGGCATGGCATGGTAGAAGAAAAGCACTTGAGGCTCTGTATGGTACATGGGAAAGTAATTTTTAACAACTGCCTAGCTTCCTCGATGCATTGTTCATGTCAAACCCGGACACTTGTGTACAATTCAAGTTTAAGGAAAATTCAGGAAGCTCGCAAAGGTTTGTATGTAGGTATGTTTTCTGGGCATTTGGGCCATCTATACAGTTATTTCATGCTTGCTGGCCAGTAATAACCATCGATGCCACTCACCTGCGAGGATCCTACAAAGGAAAACTAATTGTGGCATGCGTAAAGTGCGCAAATGGCACGATTGTTCCCATCGCATTTGCTCTTGTGGACGAAGAGACTATACACAGCTGGAAATGGTTTTTGAAGTATTTGAAAAAGTTTGTTCTACAGGATAGGAAGACCTCTATTATCTCTTATCAAAATCAGGGTATCCTTACTGCCATGGACATCATGTTGCAAAAATTCCCAGAGATGGGAGTCCACCGGTATTGTCTAGAGCATGTTAAAGCAAACTTGGTTGGGCATTTTCGAAAGGAGAAACTGGGAGGCAACTGTCAAATGATTGGTTCAGCGACGCAAAAGACAAGGTTTTTGACAGAGTGGCAAAAATTAGAAGAAAAAAATGAGCCTGCTGCTCGTTGGCTTCAGAAGCTGGGTGTTGAGAAATGGACCTGTTTACACGATGGAGGGCATCGTTGGGAAGAAATGACCACTAACATCTCAGAGAGTTTCAATAATGTGCTTAAAGGTGCTAGATTCTTCCCGATCACAGCATTGATCCTAGCATCCTTTCAGAAAAGCAACAATCTGTTTCAGGCAAACTTTGATATGATCCAAAAATGTTAGACTGTTCTACCTCCTAAGCCAATGAAAATGTATGAAGAGGCCGGGAAGAAATCATTGAGGCAAAAGGTCAACCGGTTTAGCAAGAGAAACCAGAAGTACGAAGTGGTTACAATAGCACCTGATAATCAACCATGGAAGGCTGAGGAGAAGCAAGTTGTGCTGTATGCAAATCGAGAGTGCACTTGCGGAAGGTGGCAGACTTTCAGATTTCCTTGTTCCCATGCACTTCGAGTTGCCCGTGAGCTAGGTGACGATCCCTTGCCACTTTTTGATCCATGTTACACTATGCATCAATGGTACCAGCAGTTTTCTGGAGAATTCAACCCAATCATGGAACCATGGCCAAAGGCAACGTGGCAGATCAGGCCAGATGACACTAAACTTGTCCATCATGCTGGCCGAGGTCGGAAGCGTGTGAATCGGAAAAAAGGTGTGATGGATTATATAAGCAAATCGCCGCGAAGACTCCAAACTTGCGGTTTATGTAAGCTACAAGGCCATAATGCCGTGGCTTGCCCATATGCGAGAGTTTGCGCACGATGTGGAAGTTTAGATCATGATCTTTGTGGAATGCCCTTTTCTCATCCACTGTTGTGGGACCGCTATTGATAAACCGTACGATCCATATGGAATTCGTGGTGTGCCTAATATCAATTCTGATGATGATGATGATGCGTAGTGATGATTTTCCACATCGTCTGTTGTGATGATTCTGTTAGTGTTCGTATTTTTGTGTTGTTTTGAACATTCATGTAGTAAACCTCAGAGGATGAATCAGTTTGCGTTTGTATTTGTGTTAGTGTGTTGGTTTGGATGTTTCTGTAATTTATATTAGTAATATTTTTGAAAAAAAAACGTCGCTGTTCATTTTAGTAATATTACTAATTATTACTATAGTGGTAGAGTGATATGATATATACATGTTGAATAAAGCACTAATTATTTAATAAACACTAAAGGGTAAGAAAATTAGTTATTTGTTTATTCATCACCGCAATAAACAGAACCATATATCCGGCCTAAAAATCAGACTTTTTTTTTAGTTATACCCCAATAATCGCGTTTCTGAAACGCGAAAAAAGACAAGGTGAACATTATTTTCGCGTTTCTGAAACGGAAAATAGGGGGAGCATTATTTTCACGTTTCTGAAACGCGATTATTGGGATATAGGTAGTTTCGCGTTTCTGAAACGCGAAAATAGGTGGTTAAATAAATTTTTCGCGTTTCGGGTTGATGTTTCTCAAACAGAACCATATATCCGGCGTACTCCATTGAAACCGGCGGTTTTTCCGGGAGAGTTGCCGGAATCGAGTTTCAGCATCAATTTTTTATATTTTGTAGGCTATATATCGAGGTAAGTTGTGTTTTTTGCTCTCATTGAATCGTTTTTTTTTAATTCATGCTTTAATTTTCGATTCATAAATTTTATGTTTGTTTTATTTGTAATTTTATTTCGCGATTTAATACTCCGTTAATAGATCTAGTATTATAGGTGTTGTAATTGTGGAATTTTTAAAAAAATTTGGGATTGGGTTGGGTGAAAAAAATTCCGGATTCAATGGTTGGAATGGTGTTGCCGGCAGGGTGGGGGCGGCTGGGGAATGAAGGGGAGGGGACGGCGGGGGGAATGAAGGGGAGGGGGTGGCGGGGGGAATGCAGGGGGTGTGGGGGGTAGGTTTAGGGTTGGGCTTAGGGGGTTTAGGGTTTGGGGGATTGGGTTGGGTTTAGAATGTGGGTTTTGGGTTGGGGATTGGGTTGGGTTTAGAATGTGGGTTTTGGGTTGGGGATTGGGTTGGGTTTAGAGGGTGGGTTTTGGGTTGGGGATTGGGTTGGGTTTAGACGGTGGGTTTTGGGTTGGGGATTGGGTTGGGTTTAGAGGAGTGGGTTTAGGATAATAAAATTTAGGGTTGGAATTTTTAATGTATAGGATAATTAGATTAGAATAATAATATTAATCCGTATTTACTAAAATGTAGGGTTGGATTTTTTAATATATAGGATAATAAAAAAGAATATTAATATTAATCCGTATTTACTAAAATGTAGGGTTGGATTTTTTAATGTATAGGATAATAAAAAAGAATATTAATATTAATCCGTATTTACTAAAATGTAGGGTTGGATTTTTTAATGTATAGGATAATAAAAAAGAATATTAATATTAATTCGTATTTACTAAAATGTAGGGTTGGAATTTTAATGTATAGGATAATAAAAAAGAATAATAATATTAATCCGTATTTACTAAAACATAGGGTTGGAATTTTAATGTATAGGATAATAAAAAAGAATAATAATATTAATCCGCATTTACTAAAATGAGGGTTTGATTTTTTAATGTATAGGATAATAAAAAAAGATAATTAATATTAATCTGTACTTACAAAAATTATTTGTAAATTGTACTAGCAATGGACATTGGATCATCTTCTTCCTCCCAATCTACCTCAAAGAAGCTACGGCAGGGATCCAGAGACAGTAGTTTGTTGTTTCTCCAAAACGCCCATAGGTCACACAATATATTCTATTGTGCACAGTATAATATTAGGATTTCGGAGCCCAGGCGCGTAGATAGCGCCTCGTGGAAATTAATAAAAGATGCACCGAGGTTGACAAAGGAATATATTGAGAAATTTGGTTTTGGACCGTTCTCTAGAGTTGGGTCCATAAGATGTGACCATGCCACCTTACTGCTCTTGTGGAGCGATGGCGCCCAGAGACCCATACATTTCATTTACCTTTTGGGGAGGCTACTATCACACTCCAGGACGTCGAGGTTCTTTTGGGTCTTCGGGTTGATGGACGTCCAGTTACAGGACATCACAACATGCCTGATGGTGGTTGGGCAGCCTATTTGGAGAGGATGTTTGGATTTAGGTTCCAGACAGAGGAGTCTAGATTGACGAGCGTTTCCATCACTGAAATAAAGACTCACATAGAGAATAATCCTTTGATGGACCTGTCCCCTGACGATGCACACCTACAGCGAGCCCGTTGTTTTGTTGGATGGCTCGTTGGCGGATTACTGTTCTCAAACACTACGAGAAACAGTTTTCCTCTTGATCTTGTGCATTTTCTTCATACTCCCAAGATTTGCTCGGAGTACAGTTGGGGTAGTGCGGCACTATGTTACTTGTACCGCAGCATGTCCAAGTCATCTCTGGCCGCTTCTGCGAAGGCTATTACCGGCTGTGTGATTCTTCTTCAGGTATTTTATCTTTTCATTTCTCTCTAGTTTCATTTTATATTCTCCCATTATTGGTGATTTTAGCTAATGATTTCTTCATTCTGAATTAGCTCTGGGCCTGGGAGCGGATTTTGACGGTTCAGCCCAAGATACTGGGTGGGGATCTCGATCTATCTCATTGTGCATTAGGCACGAGGTAATCTTATACATCAAACCTTCGTAAATGTTGACATTTTGATTTGTACTGTCATGTCTCAATTTAATGTTACTTTCTCCGTGCAGGTGGTCCCGCGAGAAAAAAGTTCAAGGTATCACGCGGTTCAATTTGGCCGCGTACCGGGATCAGCTTGCAGTTCTCGCAGAGTCTGAGTATTATAGGCCAGCGTACTTTCGACGCGGACTCCTTTGGTTATGATCGCTTAGGCGAGATTGCTCAGGTTGCTGAGCGGGCGTTGTCCGTCAATGCAACAAATGTTGTACGTCACGATCTCGATAGGCATGTTGAGGTTAATGACATTTTGAGTCAAGAACTTGCACCTGTAGACCCGACCCAGCAACATCCACCACCCAGACCTCCGAGGCGTTCGCGCAGGTCTCAGCGTGGGCGTGGGGGGCAAGAGACAATCACATCATCTCAGCCACATCAGTCCTCCCAGCATGAGCAGTCTCATATTCCCTTCACTCGCGGTTCATCCCATCAGTCTCCACTCCATTCTCGACAGCATTTAGCCCATCAATCTCCACATCATTCATCCCATCAGTCTCCACATCATTCTTCGCCGACCCAGCAGGCGATTTATCGTCCGATTATGTCTCCCAAAGACCAAGCAGTCAATTTTGCCTTCACTCGTTTTCCTCCCTAAGACTTCTCAGCGTCAGTTTGGAGATTCTTTTATTGACTTTTCTGGGTTTCAGCAGAGTTCGCTAGATGGCCAGTCGATACATTACACGAGTAACTTTCTTTCGAGTATGTTCGAGGGTGTTGCGGGTCAGCATCAGGCTGATGACCCAGCTGAGGGTGAGCGTGAGAGTCAGGGTGAAGATGAGGCTGAGGATGAGGCTGAGGATGCAGACCAGGATGATCAGTTTGAGGGTCAGGGTTATCAGCGCCATGAGGAGCAAGGATCGAGTCAGACTCTAGGGACTCCGCCGTTGGCTGTGAGTAAAGGCCAGAGAGTGACGAAGGAGCCCGATAGATTGACTTATAGCCTTTTTCGGGCTAAAAAGCCCAAGAAGAAGTCGAGTACTAGATTTCTTATGTAGTATTATTAGACTTGTATTTTTTTTTTTCCCTTTTTTTCATTTCTGTTTTTTTTCCTTTTGTTATGACTTGTTTTATTTTTTTTACCTTTTGTTATGACTTGTAGTATTTTGTTATAACTTGTATTAATATTCTTAATAGTTTGATTTCACCTGCATCGTAAATACAATAATTAATATTTATAAAACACATCTTCGCCGATCAAATCGAAACACATCTTTAAACTTTCTTATATTTTTTATCATAATTAATAGTTGCTTCATCTTAAGTGTTGGTAAATTATAATAAATATTTAATAAAATTTATTCCTATTTTAAACTTTTTTCTTATATTAAAACCATCATAATTAATAAAAATAATTTGTAAATTAAATTACATCTAATTAAATCCATAAAATTACGTCATTACCATTATTGAAAATTTTTCATATAAAATTATTTTTTAAAATAATGATTACATTTTTAAGAAAAAATTTTAATATAATCATTATTAAATTTTTTTATATAATGTTCTAAAAATTTAATACATTGTAATAACTATATCATACTTTTAATAATTTATATTTAGTATAGCTCTATTTAATTTAATGAGTATCAATTATAATATTATATTGTTATTCAAAATTTAATTTTTTGTATTATTAAAATTATCAATATAATTTTCCTCTTTATAGCTCTATTCAAAATTTATTGACTAACAGTTATAATTTTAAAATTTTCTGTTACCATTATTCAAATTTAATAATTTTTTGAAGTCAATTTCCCTATAACATTTTAAACTAGTCAAATTAATCATATTTTTATGCCTATTTTCTTTTTTATTTTAATAAAATATTTTTTTAATTGATTTCGCGCTTTGAAAACGCGAACTCATATTTATTCAAGTTAATTAATTAGGATTAAGTTAAATTAATTACGTTTTCTTATTTTTCGCGTTTCTAAAACGCGAAAAACATATTTTAGCGTTTTCAAAACGCGAATTTTGATTTTTAGCGTTTTCAAAACGTGAATTTTGTTTTTTTCGCGTTTCTGAAGCGCGAGAAAGCTATTTTTGGCTACAATTTAAACCCTAAGCTTATTTTGTTCTTCATTTTTTTTTCAGCTATTAATAAGTAAATTTTCCATAAATTCAACACAAAAAGCACAAATGCAAACTTTACAAGATAGAGCAAAATTATGAATGGTACAACGTTTAAAAGAAACCATGCTACCATAACGGCACTTCTTTTCCACAGGAGAAGGGCGAATATTCTGCTGAATCACATGCTTCACTGTTTCTTTCTGCATCAGAGTATGCCTGATAACGGCACTTCTTGTGTAGGGGTAGCCATGAAAATGTTGTTCTGTGACAATGATGCTTTCTATAATTTGCCCCAGGCCTTTATTTTCTTCAGGTACAGTTTTTGATGACTCCCTTGGACTTATTGTGTCAGAAGAGGTCTCACCAAAAGAAAGAAGACCTAAATGAAAAACTAAGGTTACATATGATAATTGACCGGAAGAAGAAACGAATCACAGAAAACAGATCACATGCTTCATCATATTATTCCATAACATCAGGAAAATCTGGTTGTTTCAGGGGGAAAAAGGGAGAAAACAATGACACGAAGAACTTCCGCTCATTTAGTTCATGAGAACTCTAGGTGAAGAAACTACAGAATTCGATAACGTCAGTACGAAATGGTTTACAGATAAATAAATCCCATACTCATTTCCATTTTAGTAACAGGTTCCACACTACTGAGTTCTACTTAATCTAACTTATTTAACTACCATCTGCGACTAGCCAAAGAAGAAAGAAATTTCCAAGGAAAGAAAGAAGAGATGCCATCCATTAGCCGCTCTATACAACACTCATAAGAGACTTTAAAAATTAACCATTTTTAAGTACCGATAACCAGAGAAACCATTTCTCACCAGCAGATATAGTTCTTTCAAACGAAAATTTAACAAACCCAGATTAAAAAAAAAATAAACATCACAACAACACAAACAACTAGAATAACGTTCCTGACATTGGGATTTGTTCAATCCCCAATTTCTTCAGAGCAAAGACTTATACATTGCAAGTGAGAGACAATTAACCATAACATGCATTATATCAATGAATAATACAGTAAATTAAATCACCTGATGAAACAAAAAATTACCAGGTGGCTCATTCGAAACCAAAGGGGCATACAAGTAACAATCAGATGCCATGTAATCCTTCACTTTCCGAGACAACTTCTTTTGTTTCTTCTTCATGGGTTCTTCAAATGCCTCAAATCCTACCACCAAACAACAAATCAACAACAATTTCCCATGGCAACTGGAAACAAACCCACTTCGAATATAATTCAATAAATAAAACCCATGGAAAAATTTACACAAATACCTATTGAAGTAACAAGGATTTGAGTGTAAATCCAAGTATTAGAAATGATTGGAAGCTAAACCTAATCTAATAAAAAAAAGAAGAAAAAGACGGGAATAAGAACGATTACCAGAACAAGGTATCGCTCCTACTTCGCCGTCGCCGTCACGGGAAGTTTTGCCGTCGCCGTCACTAGGGTGCCGAAGGAGAGAGAGTGAGAAAGGGGCACGACGGTCTAGGGTATGACGAGAGAGAAAGGACTTTGTTTTCCCGTTATATTCATTACCCGATTTTTTCATAACCCTACTTCGATCTGATTTAGACCCGCGAACGGAGAAAAAAGCCCTGTTTCAAAAAATTGAAAAATACCCTATACCTATTTTCTAAAAATTCTGTTTTAAGTCGTCTTTTTTTCAGATTGATGTTTACAAAATACTTTAATTATTTTGTCCAAACGCATTTTAAACTCTAAACAGACTTTTTAGCCTTAAAAGTGTTTTTAAAACTCTTGTCCAAATGGAGCCTTAGATTTTAAAAGATCGCAATTATATAGCTAAATTATGTATATCCTACTATATTAGAAATAAAAACTCCCCTTTCAAACACCTCCTATGATTGCCACGTGACATGAAGAAAGTACTAAATTGCCCTTTTGTCTATCCATAACTAAATTATTAAATCCTCCTTTGCACTTCACGTGACACGTTTTTTTTATAAATTTTTTCTTTATGTTTCGTTCAATTAGAGTGGTTTTCTTTTCTTAATTATGGAGTCTAAATTGAATGGATCAATTAGATTTTTATTACAAAATGTCAATTTTGTTTTAAACGTATACCCTTCGGATGAAACTTATTACAAAGCTATTAAAAATCTCCAAAATTAAGTATTGATTTGACATGACCAATGGAGGACATCAATAAATCATCTTACTAATATTTAAACTTATTGGGATGCTTTTATATTTTGTCTAACATTTACTTCAACAGATATATTCGATTAAGTCTATTTATATTTAATAAGTAACACTTATAAAACATTTCTAAAACATACATGGCGAAATACAATTTCTTTTTTTTTGTTAAATACAAATATTTCTATGATCACACTTATAAAACATTTCTAAATTCTTCAAACATTTCTAAAATATATCGCTTCAAATACAATTTTTTTTTAAAAAAATATAAACATTTCTAAAATCTACAGATAGACTGGGCCAGGGTCGCGCATTGCGCGACCAGACATCACTAGTATGCATACAAAGAGTTATAATGACTATTCAAAGATTATCCTTCAAAAAATATTAAATATTCAGAGATTTAGAATTGGTATTTTCTTTCATACAAAATTATCTTGTAGGACTGCCTGGCTTGATTATTTTATGTCTTTTTTTTAATATTTTATTGAATGGGAATTTTTTAAAATGATTAATTTATGATTTATTTTTGAATTTAACACTGGAATAATCAACGTGAATTAAGTTACATAATTGAGGGCTGAATAAGATTGCTAGATTTTTTGGGTGATATTCATGTCTCTTTGGCCATAGGTCATTAATATGTTTTTTATTAAAGAAAAACTAAGAAACAAAAAGAATATAAAAGCACTTAATAAAATAAAAATGGTCATCCTCATCATCGTTGATCCCAGTCAATGGAGCTGGCATGGGTTCGAACTCAAGTTATGCAGGAATAACAATTCCAGTGTCAACCTACAATGGAAATTGGAAAATGCTTGATCAGTATTCAAAGAGAATGCAGTCAAGTTTGAAATTACCGTACTTGACATATACACATTATTTGAAAGCATAGAGAATACATCCACCTGTTAATCCCGAAAATATTTCTTTTGCATCAACTCCACCAGTTGGCCAATATTGTGTACATGTGCCAAGCATCAAATGTAAAGGTCTTAAAACGGTTGTAAGACATGATAATTTTGAAAGATAAAGATTGATACCTTCTGAAGCATCAATGTAAACTTAGCATTTCTTGCTCTAAATGATTTGTTAGAACAAACAGACAAAAAAGGAATTCATTCATGCAAAATAACACCACCCACCACTTGTTTTTTATTAATTTGAGATCAAAGATCAATTCATCAATTTAACAGAGTATAATTTTCCATAAGACTTGTCAAAATATTTGGATTTCTTAAGTGAGATTTCAGTGCACAAATATCAGCATAACTCAGTAGCAACAAATCAAGATCCAAACATAATAGGTAGAGGAAAAAAGAAATTTTGAATTTACTAACCTCGACAAAAATTGATGACAATAATGATTTTTATTGCGCCTTCTTACAAAAGTTTCAAACTTTCGTAGGAGTCTCTTGTGGGCTGAGGCTTCGAACTTTATCCCTGTAATCAATAACATAAAAGCCAATCTACATAAAAAGCAGCGTTCGATTAAGCATGATAGTGACAATGAAGTAAATATCGTAGGCAGTAATCTTTAAGCGTCCTATTTATCGGTGATGGTAGAGAGGAAAAAAAAAGACAATCACTTTCAATTAGGGAGTGATTAGTTTTATAAAATGATAACATTCCATATTTCGTGTTAGCTTGAATTGATCCTTAATTTATTGGTGATTGATTTGTTACAATGACAATGATTTTAGACTTTTTAATCCATATTATTACCACTTCTTC